GAGAGAGAGAGAGAGAGAGAGAGAGAGAGAGAGAGAAAGAGAAAGCGAACAGGTGACCGATAATCTGCCCGTTTGGTGAGTGGTGCGGCGAAGCCCTCTCTCTCTCTCTGCTGTTAAATGTTTGTTATCATCTCTTCAGCAGGGTTTTGTCTTGGAGCGCAGCTCTTGACAAATTTGGTGTTGCTTGGCGCCTCTTTTGGTTGCTTTTTTTTTTTCTTTCCTTCGCCAATTTCTGTTCTCTCTATCAGGACGCAGCAGCCATTCCATTTGCAGCTCTGACGGCATGGAGGGCTCTCAGAAGCATGGCAAGGGTAAAACGAGGGTGGGTGAGCAATTTCCTTCTTCATCTCCCTGTTGTCTTTTTTTTGTTCTTCGGAATTTCTTTCAAGTGCCCTGCCCTGTTATTTGTGTGTTTGTATAGAATTAAAAAAAAAAAAAAAAACTGTTGCCTTTTGTTTGTCTTACATGACTGCTCTCTCAGGCATATTGCTTACAATCAGTCTTCTCTCTTCACAGCTCACTCTTGGGCCATCTTTAGTTGACTGACTGATTCTGGCCACAATTATGGCCAGCTACTCTTCATAAAGATTCAATTGACTGAATCTGGCCAAATTATGGTCAGATATTCCTCACATGTCCTAGTGTGAGTACGCCGTTAAATGCTCGCCCAGGGACTGGCAAGTCACTGTCACCCTTCGTGACACACAGCTCAGCAGGCATCTCGCGAACATTTTCTGAGTGTTTGCGAATCCGAAATAATCTGCTCAATTCTTTGTATGACCACCATGCCGGGATGCATGCTTGCGTCTGGTGCGTGTGTTGTTTATTTATTTGTTTGTGTGTGTGTGTGTGTGTGTGTGTGTGTGTATTCTGAAGAGTGTGGCTGAATCTCTCTCTGCAGATCCGATCAGATACATTCGTAAGGTCATGATCTGATGAATCCTTGCAGTCCTTTCCAACAAGGCCGTCAATTCCACCTCTCTCCAGTCCACCCTGCAATTCCTCTCGTCAAATCCCTCCTCCATTTCCTCCCCCCCCTCCCCTCCGACGTTTAATCCCCTTCTTAATCCCCCCTCTGCCCCTGCAATCCCCCTCCCCTCAACCCTCCCATCCGATCTCCCCCCTTCTATCTCCCCCCCTCCTCCTCTCAATCTTCCCCCACCCCTCCCTTCCACCTCCACTTCCCTCTCCATGTCCTCTCCAACCCCCCCGTTCCCCAAGCTGCCTCTCGAAGGAGAGGGAGAGGGGGGGGGGCAGGAGGAGGTGGAGGG